CGGGTTCCTAGAGACCTGTGGTCAACTACATGGAAGTCCAGCAATGTAACCATTATGCCATCTGCTGGTCCCTAGAAGTAGCTTTATTTTTAATTTTAAATAATTATTTTATTTAAATTTATTTATTTATTTATTTATTTATTTATTTTAATTTGACCAGATAGGGACAAAGTGAGAGAGGGAAAGCAAGCCACCAGGTCTGGGACTTGAACTACCATATGGGAGTCCAGTGCCCCTATCCACCACCACACCAGCCTGTTTGCCCCTAGCTTTATTAATTGAGCTGGTAAACACCTTATTTCTAGCTATAGGTCTAAATTATTTTACTCTAGATGTCAGAACATGGAAAGTGTTAGCAGAATATACAGGTTAGATTTGTTCTCATTCTTCTGGCACTGACTTCTTATCTCATTAATCATCAGGAAAAGAAGTTTTATTACTGATGCAAGCCCTAAACACCCTCTCAACCCCAGAGGAGAAGCTGGCAGCTCTCTGTAAGAAATATGCTGATCTTGTGAGTATTTAATCAAGGGTGTGAGGGCTCTATAAAGTACAGTGAAATATGTGGATGCTTGATGAGCTTCTTAATTTTTTTTAAATTTTAATTGTTTTTTATTGCCAAAGGGTGTGTGAACTCATGTAAGAGAGACAGAGAGAGGGAGAAAGCACCTCCCAGTGGGGTGTGGCCATGCCACAATTCTTTTTCCTCCATTTCTCCTCCCATCAGGATTTTGACCATGCATGTGTACACACACCTAGAGTATTTTTCAAGCCTCCAGGGCCGGGATTTGAACTGTGGTCAGCCATGTGGGATCTGGCTTCCTATGTACTGCACTTAACCACAGTTCTACAGGGGTAGCCCCTTTATAAGCTTTTTAAGATGTAATTTTAATATAACTTTATATGTAAACTTATATTTTACTCCAGTATTGAAGGGGAGACTCTGGTATCTTGCAGTTTTTTATTGGTTGCACTAATTCATTTTATGAGGTTATGCAGAGAGAACACATGCTTAGCTGTGATGTGGATTTTTCTTTTTAGGCTAAAGAGAGTGTGCACTCAATAGAGAGAGACAGAGAGAGAAGAAAGCACCCCTATGGGGAATGGTCACACTGCAGTCCCTTCTCCATCTCTTCTTCCTTTTGGGATTTTGTATGAGCATATACACGTGCCTGGCATGTTTCTCGAGCTGTCAGGTCTGGAATTTGAACCATGGGCATCCAGATGCCATAATCATCAGGCTGTGGACTGGCATGGATTTCCCAAAACTCTGTTTTAGGGTATTTTTTTATTTATTTGTTTTTTTAAGAATTACTTATTTCAGTTAGGACCACTGAAGATCTGCCCAGACTTCACCCTCTTGCCCCCCAGATCTATCTAGGAGCCAGGTTAGAATACCCTATTTATTCTGTCTTTCTCCTTCATTCTATTTTTAATTCTTTTAAAAAATTTTTAAACTTCTTAGCTCTCTGCCACTCTTTTATCTTGCTAATTCTTCCCCTTCCCCTGTTCCCATAGGACAAGCCAATCAGCAGCCATCTATATCTGAGTTCTGAGCGGCCCCATTCACACAGTGTGCTAGCACACTGCGCAGTTTTCCTTTTTTGCTTGAAAAAAATATTTTTGTTGTTTCTGTGTAGTTTTTCCTTTTTCTGCTCAGCCTCTACACACTTAATTTTCTAGACAGGTCAAGTTGCTCAGTAGACAAATATTTGAATACTTTTAGGGTCAGATTAATCCTCAATTTGCACTGAATCAGCTGCACAAAGGGAGAAAGACGGTACTGTTTAGAGACTGCAGGTTACCTCCTCCTGCATTCCTCTGAATGCTCAGATTTAACTCCAAAGACTAGGAAAAAAAGCATGTAATCCATCAGATGACCAGAAACCACCACAGAGACTCAAGAAATATGAGAAACCAAGAAAATATTTCTCCCCCAAGGGAAAATAATAACTCCTTATCCTCCACAGACAATACAAAGGAAATGTCTGGTAAAGAATTTAGAATATTGGGAACCAGCAGTTAGCATAATGGCTATGTCGCTGGACTCCCACGCAGTCGACCACGGTTCGTGCCCCGGACCCGATGGCTTAAAACTCATGCCGGGTGCGTGTCCGTGCGTGCCCAAGATCCCGAGAGGAGAATGGAGGAGAAGGGATTGCGGCGTGACC